CACTGGTACTCTAAGCGAAAGTACTACCCTGGTTAATTCAGTTTATGCGTACAACAGCTATTATCTACCACTAAAATTTACTTCTAATTGCTGCATTGATTTCGTTGATATTTTAAACTGGCTTATAGTTTCAATTACGGGTAAGACACAAAATAATTGTCTTTAAATTTTTAGGAATTTAGGTCTAAATTAGGGTTAGTTGGCTTTAATGTAGTCTATAGCAGCTCGTCAAATTATAATCGATTGTCGAAGTCATTTAAAATATTTTATGCTTTATCAAAATCTCAGTAGACTGCCTCGTTGGCCGAGTGGTCGCAAGTGCGAGTCGAGCAAAGTATTACTGGGTTTTAAAAAAAAACTCAGCAGTAGCACGGAGTCTGGATATTGTGCCCGGTATATGGCAATAGGGTCACCCCCTATTGTATGGGACTCATAACATAAATAGTGAAAAGTGGGTGTTACTTCTGCCTACAGAACCCCTTCGGGGATAAAAGGCGTGATGTTATGTTCAAAATCTCAGTAGTAGCACGGATTGTGCCCGGTATATGGCAATAGGCTCACCCCCTATTACATGGGACTCGTAACATAAATAGTGAAAAGTTGGGATTAAATTATTGTACAGTGCCATTAAGTGTAATGCCACTGTAATGTGCACCCCTTCCGTGATAAAGAGCGTGATGGTATGTTATGTAATGAACAAAAAAAGCATAAGGAAACAATTTGTGTAGCAAGTTTAATATTCTATACCATATCTTTTTCTATTCAAAACAAAGCTTTAATCGAGTAGGTATAAGGTACAAACACGTTGGCAACCTTGCAATAATGAGTGTAATGGTATGTGCACATTGCATATAAACAGCGCAGCGGCACATCCGCGCCATTCATGAATAACTTAATTGGTTCAGTCTGACTGTCCGCGTTACTTTATGGCTTCATAAACCTGAATAAACGTTGCTTTTTGTTGACAACGATAAATTAAGTTTTTGTGTGAATTGTTGTGAGACTAGACTAAAATAATGTTTTAAGCTGAGATAGTTAGGTTATGAATACTGATTCTTATAGTTACGGGATTTTCCAGAACCAATACATTCACCAGTCTTATACGGAGAAGATTTGAGCATTAAATGGTGAAGGAAAACATCGTGAAGAAATGCCAGTGTAATTCTTTGCCAGAGTCTGTATTTCCTGAAGGGTGTCTTCAAGGCCCAAGTGAATAGGTTGCTTATGGGACGACGTGCTCCATCGTAGACCGAATCATCGCTTACCAACAGGCGAGATAGTGGTCGAACGTTGGCCCGTCAAATATAAAAAGAAAGCCTGATCATCAATGCGGAACCAATAATCTTCTCAATATTATAAACGAGTTTTGTGAATTTATGTGTATATTTGTTACACAATTACCACAAAATGGCTGACGTGATCTGGATGAGAATCTGTGGTGGAGGAATAACATTTATCCTACTTTTTATCCTATGGGAACGTGATCAAAGGCACTGGCATAAGGTAGGTAAAATTAAATAACAAATTATGCTAAAACTTTATTTCATTAATTTTCAGTCAAAAATGTTTTCAATATACGAATGTAAACCTCTTCAGCTATGGGTAATCTTTCAGTATTCGGGCGATAGTTGTATTTTCGTTGCAGTTTCCACAATAAATGTATTCGCGGAAATATTGTATTCGGCACGTATTTTACTTTCATACTTGTGAGACCAGCTTGTTATTTTACTAACATATCGGCACTAGATTGCAGCGTAAGTACGGTCTCTAGTACGATCTTTAAGTAAGACACGAAGTGCTGATTGATTTAGTAATGAGAAATTATAAATATTAGTTTTGCTTTATAAAAAGTTTAATTTTTAGATTAGATTTATATCTCAAAATCACGTTTTAAAAACTAGGGCCGATTGTCCAACGCCATATAAATTGTAACTAAGGAATCTGTCTAATAGAATATTTTATCCTACAGTTAAAAATTCACTAATGATTGAAAAATCGGTCTCTACGCTGAAATATTCAAACGCTACTCAATTTTAAGTCGCCATTATCTATTGTTTTGCCACTGTACCTAAATTCTTTGTAAAATGGGAGAGACGATATTTAAGCACAACATAAAATTGGGTAGCCAATCAGTACTCGGAAGTGAGTCGATAAAATTCATAGACATTTTACACTAACCTTATGGCCGTCTTCACCACCCACTTCAAAACCATCTCCTAACTAAAAGTTACCTAGCGTGACGTATCATATAAATTAACCCCTTACTCGTACTGTTAGGTGTCACTTAGAGGTTGGTAAAAACCAAATTATTGTTAAACGTGACCTATCTTCACTTAGGGGTTCCTTAAAATTTAGACGAGATGGGGAAAATCTTAAAATTCTAGCATTAAGTATCACTTAACCTATTTTCCAAAAAGTGTACACAACACGTATTTAGCTGGCGTACATCGTTACATGTGTGTGTACACGCAGCCGTTAAAATTTACGTAACCGCAGCTTTGGTGGTGTTAGTTACAGTTACCGCGCACCGTTAGTCGCAGTTTAACCACAACTACTGGCCTGGCTTAATCTTACTGAGGTGGTGAGCACCTGTCCCTCTGTATTCACAGCAGTGCTCGATATATAAAACTATCGTACACATTACACATCACACATCAACAGCAAAGTCTCTTCTCACACGGAGAAGGTTTGAGCATTAATCACCACGCTTGCTCAATGCGAGTTGACAATTTCAAAAATATAATTAGAATTTATAAGAACAGGTTTTCTCATGATGTTTCCCTTTACCGGTTCTCAGTGGTGTCTGAATAATCTTAGAAAGTACATATAATTCGGACAAAGTCACGTTGGTACTTGCCGTTCATAGGTTTAGGGTTCGCACCCTCATGCATGAGAAGCGGACGTCTTAAGCCTTTGGGTCACCACGACAATTTATAGTAGTTTATACCGTATTTTCCAACTCCTTGGGCTCGCTGTCATTGCAGCGGTAAGTCCCCTCTGTGAGGAGTGGCTTGAGAGACGCTACGGCGTCCTCACCTACCGCCTGACGCAGGTCCACACCGGACATGGAAGTTTCGGGAGGTGCCTATGTCTGATGGGGCGGGAGGAAACGCCCGGGTGTCATCACTGCGAGGACCGTCCTGAGGACACGGTGGAGCACACGGTAGCGGAATGCCCTAAGTGGGTTGAACACCGCCGTGCCTAGTGCAGGTCATGATGCGGAGCGAGGGGGACTGGGATGCCGTCTCCTCCTTTTGCAAAGCAGTTATGGTAGCTAAGGAGGAGGCGGGATGCATTAGGCAGCGCAAGCTCCTCGCAACCCAGCCATCGCGAAGGACACACCGAGCGTCGGGGATTGCGAGACGATCTCCGGCCACTGTGGCTCCCCGTCCGACCAGAAATCGACCGTCCGACCGGAGCATACGGCGCGTCGCGTTCCGCGCGCGCCTCAAAGAGCCATCAGACCACCACAGATGGGGCCCAACAGGGCCGATGCCGATTCGGAGTCGTGGAGAACCTAACGGGTTACCGGGGCTCCAGCTCGACGTGTAGGAGAAGGAACGGGGTGGTTTTTAGTCAGTACACTGACACTCCCTCCCGCCTCACCTAGGCGGGAGAAGTCATTCGATGATTTTACCCTCTTAAAAAAAATAGTCAAAATCCTGCTATTGATTAGTGCTAGCCGACTATGAAACCCACAAAAAGAAAAAAAGTAAGTCATTATATCCGCAGGTCCATTTAATTGCATGAAAAGACACGTACCGTAGTATAATGCCCCTGTATTACTGAAAGAAAAATTATCTCCTGAAATCTGCAACGAGCTTAACCCTATTGTACCGACGTAGGTACACTGAGCCACCTTTGTACAGCTATGACGTTGAACTTAATGAATAACCATCCCCGACTGAAATACACGTTGAAATTACTGCATTAATTCCTTCAGCGATATTTATTATAGCGTAATAATTAGTGGAGGAGACAGGAGCTCGGGAACAGGGGGACGCAACTCTAGACCTATCTTTTTATTAAAATGTGTAAAGACGTTAAATTATACGATTAATTAGTATGATTAATGCTCCTTAAGAAGGAAGATGAGAAAAACAGTGTAAGAGAGGTAGGGATACTCTTGTTTTAATTAAGTTATTGTACTCACGGAATTATGGCCTTCGATTTATTCGAGAGTGCTTTTTCTTGCTTAGTTCCGGAATATTAAAATTCATGCTGCGAGCTGCGAGTTATTTAATCCAATATTTATTTCATAGCAGTTTCCACATAGCCAACAAAATGACCGATTACGCAAGATGCACAAAGTGTCCCCGAACCGACCGAAATTTGGCAAACAAATAAAATTATTTATTTAAATACATATTATTCAAATTTGACACTGCATAGATTTGTAGGTATTATAAATACTCAAAGTAGAGAATTGGGGCCGATTTAATTCGTAAGATTACAAAATTGGCTTAATATTGACCAGTGTACCTCCTGTAGGTATTATAGAGGAAGATAGAGGGGGTGGAAAGGGCGAAGGGGTACTCGTAGCTCTGACGAGATAATTATATTATATTTCATTCACTTCAAGGCTGAATGCCACTGAATCGGTGCCTATTACCATTTTAAAATAATTTCACAAGTTCACTAGCTGAACCTCAATGCTTCACAAAAGCCATGAACTTCATTGTTCAGTTTCAGCGAAAACGGGTTACTGGAAATTATGTTCGACATTTTTGTGTTGAATTTATGAAGGAATTTGATCGCAACTCTATTTTATACTTTACATCCTGGGTCCTGTATTAATAAGTTAACTATAGATAATCCTTGGAAATTATGTGCTCTCATTTATTTTACTTTATTTTGCGAACAGTCAGGAAATGTTCAAAAAGAACAATTTACTGTGTTATAGTTGTCGTATATCAAGTTGTGATGAGCATTACCACAAAATCTCTGTTAGGTATTACTGAATAATTACGTCTATAACATTTTTTAAGTGTAACTCTTACCTTATAAGTACCGAGGTGTTCGACGACGCACGGCAGGCTGGCATCTCTGCCGAGCGCCACCGTCACGTTGGGGATGGGCTCCGCAAACCGAGGCTCCTCCGTCAACACTGACAACAAATAGAAAACAATTTTTCGATACATTCATATTCTTATAATTTTAATTATTGTTTATTTTCATAGTTTATTTCATATAGGTCGTATTAAAATAAATAAGAATATAGTCCATAGGTAAGGGTGGGATTAATTTTAGAAGCTAAAGAATAAAGTTAATAGTGAAACTCTATATTTAGTATTCGTACCTATGTATTCCATTATCCGTTCGTATATAAAGAAAAGTAAAACCACATTGGTAGATACCAAAAATAGACATTTAAGAAATAGGATAATGTGCCACAAGCCCGCGGTAGACGTACATATCATTACGTAGAACTATTTACAATGTTCTTACTGAAATTACTTTGTTACCAACGGTTAAATAAGTATATACCCATATATGGTTGTAAAACAAGCTCTCAAAGTAGGTAACTCGCGAGAATACCGCGCAGGATAAACTAGCTCATTACCCTCTATGAAATTTGTATTCCGTTCTCGTCTCAGGACAGTCTCCCGTTAATAACTGGAGTTTTAATTACGGCAAACATCCTCAAAATATCAGTCGTTGGCAACATCATAAATCCAACAAATTAACTTTTAAAGCAGTTTGGTAAACCGAAGATATCAACCTTCACATAAATCTTGGTGTGCGACACATTTTTACAACCGAACAAGTAATATTTTAGATTAAAATGCGAACAAGCACTTGAAGGATAAGCTGTATTTTAGACCCACTTTTTAAATGGAATAGTAAAGAGCTATGAATGTAGTCTAACCTTCAGACCGATGACCTTTATGTAAAGTATGAAGCATAACTTTGGTAAAATAATGAAGACGTATTTGAGCGGAGTATAATGTAAAAGCGCTTAGATTGATATTTTTAATCAACCGCAAAGTTAGGAAGGCGAGAGTTGCCGGCTCGTTATGACAAGCAAAATATTGTTTATTACAGAACTTTGGCAAATTCCCTCCCCCCCACTGCTACTTCAGATCAAGGCGATGATAACGACGAGAGTAAAGGGTAAGTGCGCGGAACTTCGGCTGTGAACACATCAACGGCTCCTACTTAAAGGGATTTTACAAGTCTTTACGTAATTTTAATGACTTTAATGATTTGATTTCTCATCGAGACAAAATAACTTTTGAAATAAATGTAATAGAGGTTCACCTGACTCCTCTATTTTCACATTTGCATTTAATCAGTGTTTAATGGTCAATATTCAATATTTATCAGTATAAACTTATTTTACCGACAACAGATAGTCGTTCGACGATTCATGTTTTTTACTGGATATTTCCTTTTGAACGGTCGTATCAGTTACAATATTAATGAATACAGCGATACCAACACATACACATTTAGAGGTAATTGGATATTGCTGATTGAAACATTAACCATGCATGAAACGCCTAAATCTCGTCTAACGTTTATAACAGGATAATATGGGGTAACTGCCTATACGATAAGGATTTACGTTAACTTTATTACCTCATTGAATACCTGAACGTACCCTCTAAAGTTGAATCCAATATTTACTTGTGAACAGTTAACATTAACTTGCTTCATTATACGGAAGACAAAACACTGTAACGAGAAATTACTGCACATCTTGTAAAAAGGAAAACACAACTTGTTGGAATCACGTCGGCGCGGGGCGCCGTGTACAGTGTGTATACAGCCTAATGACTCATACTTCGCCGAGTATGGTAATTAAAAGTACGTTACAAACTCCGGTGTATAGTATTGCGAAGTAAAAAAGCGCCGCGCGCTCCTACCGACGGCGATAATAAACGAACGCAAACATTTTCCTTTTAGCAGAAGACGATAATTTTTCATCAATACATTTTTGTGTATCAGTTGTACGATATTATTGTTGCTCTTCGTCGCAATGATTATTTTCTTAGAATTCGGATTCTTATTTGCGTATTAATATCGGAAAGACTTCGACGTAAATTATTTCCTTGACAACGATTAGACGTCTTATCCTTAAGTATACTCTCGGCTGTCTGTCAATGTTTTGTGCCGTTTGATGTTTTGTTGTATCCCGAAATATTATCTGAATATTTTTAAGCAATTTTTACTTTTTATTTTATTTTACTGTTCTATATGGATAATATTCACGTGAACATTAATGTTAAGCCATGCTAACGTTCTACGTTAGTTCGTGTTGACTAACTATTTATGACTGCGTATACAGGCATTATGAATGCATCAACATCATCGCAGTAGGATCCATCACAAAAGACATAGAACACAGTTTGGCTCTCCGCTCGTCTCCCGTTAATTAACTCATTTGTTCACGAGGCACACATTCTTTGACTCTCAACTTATTTAATCATTATGGCATTCTGACATTGTATACGTTCGTTGATGCGAGTTAATCAAATGATAAAGATTCAAACTTTTTAATATAAAAACTGTGTCAATGTAAAATATGGATCCAAATTTTACAACCTATTTTCTTTTATAAACTACGTTTAAAAAAACAGACTCCAACACCCTCTTTTTTTGGAAATCGGTAATTAATGTACTAAAACCCACTAAATGTTATCATAAACACTTTTCTAACAACCGCATCACAATCGGTTCAGCCAATAGCGAGATGGTCCCGCACAACACTTTTTTGAAGTCGGTTAAAAATATATCAAAATATTCAGTGTATTTCAAACGTATCAATATCAAAATTCCCGTTGTTTCATTCAGATTACAATTCCACAAAATGTAGGTATGTATATGTCGAACATTTAATGCTAAATTAACTCCGCCAATAATACCGAGTGTATCGTTTTTCCCAAATTCGCCGCTACCTGTCTCCCTGATAGCTTTCTCTTTGAATAATTTGCGAGTCGAAATGGCAATAAATTTTATATTTTAGCCGGAGTTCGTTTCAAAGAAAAAGTAATATTGTTTCTTGACTGTGACATTTTTCAACTTGTTTACCGTACTGAAGCCAACAGCTGCGTGTCTCGGCAGTTATAAAACACCGCTAAATTGAGTGTACACTACACGCGTTCAATAAACTTGTTTCGCGAAACACTTCTACAATGTGCTGTTTTATATCTTCACGAAAATTCTCTATTTTGAGGCTTTAGATGTTCACTTTATTCTAAAGCCCATCACATTATTCACACTACAGCAAAATATTATTTCAAGAATTACTCCGAGTAGTGAGAACCGTCATATGAAGTTGGTGCTCGTTAGCTCACTTGAAATTCCCGGCAGCCACATCGGAGCCCTAAACTACAATGACGTCGTGGAAACACACAAATTGATCGACACCACGACTAATTTAATAACCAATTACTCTGCCTACCCCCAGTTACTACAGCTCGGAGATATGAGCCGCGAGATTTAATTACTCGAGTTGAGAGCCCCTCAAAATATTGTCTTCATTAAGGGCTCGCTCCCTTTGTGTCGCGTTTTATTCGAAAAGTTTGCGTGTAATTTCGGAAAACTTAGTTAGGTGGCCTGTTAACGTTCGCGTTCCTGATTCTCATCACATTCAATGTGTTGATATTATTGTATATTATTCACTTTTTATAACATAAGAAATACCAAGCTCATTAACTCAAGTCGTTTTGCTTTATACTTAACTACGAGAACTTGAGCAGTGAGTCGACGCAGGACGTATTTGTGTTATCCTATGAACGAGTAACCTTCTCCTTTTAAAACAAATCTATTATTACAAGCAAGATAGCATTACATTACGATCTGACCTAAATTCCACCGAAACCAAAATTTCAAAGAATCGACGTGTTTTAACAAATACGTGAAATTCACATTATGTATATCAGAAAAGAAATAAAAATACGTTCAAATAACATGTAAGAAAACGTTTAACTTGAAGAACTTTTAGTATTATTTAAATAGACGGAGAGGATTTATTTACTTAATTATGCAGGCAAACTCTTTGGAACATTCTATGAGAATCTAGGAATTAATATGTAATCTAGGCTTTCATTAGACTACGTTTTCCCTGAATCAGTTAAAATATGAACAGCGCGATGGTGACTTTATTCTAATGAAGTACGACTAAGCATTGAGCTACAAGCTAATTATTGGTTACTTTTTAATTCTCGGAAATAGATAATGAACAGAAATCCCCTCGGAGGAAATCAGACTCCTAATTATAATATTATGAGTTTAAGGAAAAATAAAAATAAATGTTTCAGAACATTTTCCATGTGATTTTAAATATCTACGTAGAAAATCGGTGCGTTTATCTTTCGGCCCTTACTTCGAATTGCATGGAGTCGATATAACGCGTCTTCTTCCATTTTTACTAATGGTTACATTCTGTAGCGGCTTCTATTCCACGATATCTCATATAAAAATAATAACTAGCTCACATAAAGTATTAAACTGTCAAACACCAAGCGGTCACCGGTGACCGCAACCTATTGTTCTATAATTGTGTCTACAACACCGGTACTCGACGAGTTAAGCGCATTTAACAGTGTAACAGTGAAGTGTGACAGTGAAGAAATATACAAATAAATATACATTTTTTTTACGTTATTAATAAAATCAACTTTATTTATTCAATTGTAACTTTTAGAAATAAGAATAAAATAATATACATTTAGAAACTGTTAAACTTATAGAGGAAATTAATTAATAAAAATATAAAGAAATATCGTTACATTCCTAGCTATTTAGCTAATTCTTAAATAATGGCTTCTCTGCCACGACATTCTTTACACATACTCTCAATTTCTTTGGTCATCCTTTTACTTACCTTGGCATATAATAGTGATGATCTGTATGATGCTGATGGCGAAACTCCTGCAGGGTCCTCGGCGGGTCATGGTGCATCACGTTCTCATCTCGTCTCCACTCAACGTCGCGCAGCGCCTCTACCGTACCTCCGTCTCACCATCTGTTGCGAGAGAATACAGTTAAGGAAAGATTTATTTATAATTAATTTAAAAGAAAAGATTTTTTATAAATATCTGAGTCCACATTTCTGTTTGTTGAAGGTTTTATCTGTCATCGTAGTCATCAGCAGCAGTTACGTTACTTGTTTTAATGTTATTATATTATGGACCTGTTTAAGTTTAGATTATTGTAACTTTATGTAAAAAATGTTAGCAGTGAATTATAGAATCGTTCGATCATAATTCAGATAGACTACAAGTCCCTCCAGAGTGTTATAAATGTTCCACAAACTATTGTGGATACGGTAGCAATAAAAAACATTTATATATACATACATACATAACTTCACGCCTGTCTCCCATGGGGGTAGGCAGAGACTAAGGAACGCCAATTACTACGATTCTTACATACCTCTTTCGCTTCATTAACAGTCATCAATCTTTTCATGCATGCTCGTCGGTTAAGGGTACTTTTAATTTGGCCCTTCTTTAATTTAAATAAAAAACATTTATGTTGTATACTTTACTGTAGGTACTTATTAGGTACAAAGATCCGTTTCAACATAACATATTAAAATAATTTAACAATAAATTACACATTAATTCATCAAGCAAATAATATATATCAGCACAACACAAACCATTAAAATATGATAATAATTCTCAATCGTTATCATTTCATTGACAATTTATTCACAATACGTGATAAACATTAAAATACGGTATGTATGTGATTAATTACCGGGCAACCCCACTCGTTTATCAATTTGTATCGGCAGTGACAATACAAAACTTATTAAACTTTATTATTTAAAAAATAGATTCGAATGGAGAAGAACGAGCTAAACACTACATTCGTTACTATTTTTAAAAAAGTATGATCTACAATGTCTCTGATACATATTCCAATACTGTACGTATTTGTGAGAACAATGCAAAGACACGCTTGACTCATTATAGATACTAATTACCATGTCTATGACTAAACATAGATTTTGATTAATTTGTGTATCAGCAGTTCGTTCAATAAAGGAACGAAGTGTTATCACGAGTTGAGCTAAACTTGTTGTAAAATGTTCTTGGTTACCATTTCAGGAGCCACCCTATCATTTCCCGTGGGTATCGTAAGAGAAGGACGGAGGTATTATGTCTGGGGGACGGGTAGTATTTACCTTGTGTTCTAACAGGGTGAATATAATAATATAAGACCCCCTTCATAAATTATTATCAAGAGAAGCCGTTTGTAGGGAAAGCAGATCCTGAACGTATCATCACCGCAGAATCCTTTTGCATATTTTGGACAAAATTTGACTATTCCGAGGGATATTGGCAGAAATAATATGTGGTTAGCTCACATTGTTATTTTGCTACAAAAATAACAGTGACTTTACTATGGGTTTTGTTATCTTGGCGTATCAAAATAATCACACCATGTTACAAGTATGCGTAATTTCTAATTAGAAAAAAAAGAAGGCAATTGCCTTCAACCTTTCATTAAAGATTTAATATTGTTATTTTTTAAGCAATGTATAATAAAATATGATATTTTTGGCTTTATTCATAAGTATAGTTACCACGACAAGTTAAGCTGACAGTGAGATCTAAATGTGGTGACCTCGCGAGTACAATAGATAGGATAGTTCGATGGAAATATTTAGCGAATTTAAGACTAGAGCAGTTAATTATCTCTATCCTACATAATGAAAGGAAAAGATAACGTTATTTTTAAACATTCCTAAAACTGATTTGATCGCCTGTAGACTACAGCTAGTACGTCGAAGCACAAAATATATGTGACATATTAAATTTCTATTTTTGTGTCGTTTCAATTCGACTTTGAATTGGATGGACTACATACATTTACACAAAACTATATATAATTGCAATGCCGAAAGAAAGCACATAACGATGGTGAAAAAGTTAGGAAATATTTCCAGAGTAGCAGAGTGAACAGTACTCGTTACATCAGCCATCTTAATCTCAGCCTTCGACTTATCATACCATTACGAAACATAAACAAACCAAACAAAAGGCTGAGTAGCGACAAAATATTCCGTTAAGCCGTCACTCGATTTGCATTAGAGCACAAATGAAGTAAGAATTGAGCAAAGACTCGTTAAGTAGCCTCAAACGAGTCATCTGAGGTCGCGACTCAGTGCCGAGACAAAGGTTTTGTGATAACGACACAAGTTACTGGCGAGGAGCGGACTATCGACGAGGAAAAGCTATAAAATCCTAGACAGATTCGATACGATACTTGAACATTTGAACTGCTACTATATGAGCTGATACGATAGATATAATTTTAAAGTTAAATAGAGTGAACTATGTAGTTAGACCATGGTACGCAAGCACTCAAACTGTTCCGAAAACAATGCTTGACTATTAATAACAAATCTCATTTCCCAGTCCTGAGAACTAAGGCTGCACAAATGCATTGGTAAACGCAGTTCGCTTACTGACCACATAAATCCTGAAATAGAAGGCTCTATTCGAACTAGCTCCAGTTTTAACGTAGCTGCGGTTTCTCTAAAATAGAAATAGTCCTTCTAGTCCTAACATTCGGCTCCATTATACACTGTCATTGCTTCGACCACAGCCGATGGCTTCAGCGGAAGTCAGCGTCGCTCGTGCCCTGAAACTTGATTTATCCCGCGATCAAATTCAATTGTGTCAAAAGAGAAATTGACTAAAAATTCTACTGTCGCACTGAGTCCGACCGACACGACGTCCCGTACTCGGGTTACATTTTTTAACATTTAATATTCCCATTTTAATTTTTGTATGTGATTTTCTGTGATTGTCTATGTATATTTCGAACTATTCATATTGCAGTGAAGTTATTCTAATAATATGGTGGTGGTACTAAAATTTCATTTAAGTTTTAGTGTGTGTAGGTTATCTTCGTCTATTTATTGCGAAAACATAAAAGAAGTATGTATTTTAAAAATTTCCTGTCAACATTTTGACAGTGGATCAGAGAAGGACGATGAAAAAAACCTCTCTAGTTGACTAGCATTATAAAATTCAAATTTTTGTTATTGTTTCTTACGAAAAGCATATTGTTGGTGAGCAGCCAGCTCCTTGTTTATGATGTTCTATTGCATTCTTCTTCGCTACGTTAATATTATACGTGACTGCGGGCACTAACTCATGTTGTGCTTGTATCAATAATATCTATTCTATTCCCCGCTCTATATATTGCACATAAAGCTTTGTACGACTATCAATACTGCAACATGCTTCTTTTATTATAGTAAGGTACTCACAAAAATCACATTTATTTCTAAGAAAAAAATACATTAATACTTTTCATTTCCAATATTAACAGCAAAAAACTTCGTTTCAGAGACTTTCAGGTAGCTGTCTCATTAGAAGTAATAAAAAATAGGTTCACAAAATGTTCATCCGAAAATAACCAAAGTAAATCCAGACAAAAATGTCGGCCGACTGATCCCAAAAGTTAGGCGAGTGAAATCGTGGCAAAATGCCAACAATACATCATTATTAACTTTGCGAACATTGCTCGCTTACTGACGGACATCATCATTGCTCCATTACAAGCAAATATTACTGATAAAAAGACCCCAAAGACCCGTGTAATGAAAAAATAACAGCGTTTAATGCCGCCCCTGATCGGCTAATACCCTGTATAAATATCCCACTACCGTACCATTATCGGCCATAAAAGTGTTTGGTCCGTCAACATTATCGCAAATTTTCACGTCCAATACCTGTTTTGTTCGTCCGAAATCAATTGGCAGCGCTTTTGTAATAGAATTGTGAATTGAAACTCGATCGATTGTAGGGTCGTCGCGAAACCGCTGCGGGCGGACATCGTCTGGTTGTGATTCATCTTTACGTCGCTGTCGTACCGAAGGTTTATGCAGGGCTGTCGCCTGACACTTTTATTCCGTATTTTATTAGTCAGATAAGCAAGTTATGATTTTAAGAATTTATTAAAGACATCTGTTTCTCTTTATAAGTAGCCGGCTTAGGAGTAAGTTTCGCACTGGCTACTACATAAAAAGTATTTTATGCAGCAAACATTTTTATAGAGGAAGTCGACACAGTAAAACCGGGAATGGTGCATAAATCGTTAATTTTATTAAAATATAACCAAGATAATCTTGTTTAGTTTGAAGAAGGAGCCACAATTATCGATTATGTCATCACTAAGTTAAATTGGTGCTGTCGATACCTGCTCTATCAATTATGATCAAAACCGTACATCCTCCACAGTCCAACATTTAACTAATCAGATTCTAGTTCTAATCAATAAGTCGCGTCCATTTTAGACTTATCGCCGATTCAGATTGGAATCATTTAACCTTAGTTCGACCTTTGTGAAGCCTGTCTTGTATTAGGAAAAACTTAAACAATAGAACCCCGTTATGGTTCGAGTTTAATTAATTAATTCTGTATAACAGGAGTATCAAATTTTATTACTCAATTAGCTTTTAGGATAACTTTTAACGGTTAACCTGTATTACCGTTATTGTTTAAAAACCTCTCCTCTTTTTATAACTTTAAATAATATCAATTCTGGTGTGTTGAACATTCAGGACGTCCTCATGAAAATTTTGACTCTCGGCACTATAGCCAATGATGGTAAATTAATGTTAAGTATATTAAAATTTAAATATGATTTAACTTCCTAATTATCATCGGTTAATATCAACAAGGTTTTGTGGTTCAACGGTTGTAGGAATCTTTTTCAAACACTAATTATAGACCCCGTTTGAGGTCGTTTTACATAAAGGTACAGGGTACGAGTAGTTAAATAAATTAATAAAATTCCTTCATCCAAAATATTAAATCACAAACTGAAAAAGTAAAATACGTGTTATTTGTAAAAGTAATATAAAAACGATGCCACTAAAATACGAAGCAACGTCTGGCTATTAAACAGGCAAAACACAAACGGCAGTTGTAGTATATTTTTATAAAACGTGTTCAGCTCGGTCTCAGGAGAAAAACCCATTTTTTAAGTCAACAACAG